TATCTGTTTGGCTAAAGTTTTGGTATGAAAAAAGAACCGTATCTCATAAAAACGTTATTAAAAAAGATTAAGTTTTTGTTTAATTTACAAAATCTGCAGGTAACTGTACTATGGACCAATGAACAAACAGAGCCGACCGAAATTTCAATGAACAAGGAAACGGAAACTGACTTGAGATACTGAAAATTTTGAGCCAATAATGACGTATCGTGCGCCAATTAGAAGGAAAAAAAGGGAAGGTCAAATTTTTCAGAAATTCGTGTTTGTACGTTTTTTGAAAATTGATTATTTTAAGCCAAAAGAACTGTTAATGTCAAAACTTATGCAGTTAGTTGTATTTTCCTACATAATGAAAAAAAAAAGTTTGGAAACCAAAGCAAGCCATTGTCCTAAGTACCATCAAGGATTGTTAGTCATAAAATATTGAAAACAAAACTTTTATTGGCTTATCAAAACATAGGCGCTACGCGCAATACACCGAAGGCATAGAAACTGAAGCAAAAACCAAACAACTTGAACAACTAATAATTGAAGAATAACAGTTCTAGAACAAAAAATCGTACTCATACATGTATACACCAAAATTTTGCTATATCGAGAAAGAGCCTGAAATAACAGTTCTAGAACTAAAAATCGTACTAACACATGTATAGGTTAAATTTTTGATATATCAACGAAGATCATAAAATAACACTTCTAGAACTAAAAATCGTACTAACACATGAATACACCAAAAATTTACTATATTGACAAAGGGCCTGAAATAACAGTTCGTGAGCTAAAAATCGTACGAACATATGTATACACCAAAATTTTGCTATATTGGCAAAGATCATGAAATAACAGTTCGAGAGCTAAAAATCGTACTAACACATGTATACGTCAAATTTTTGCTATATTGACAAAGATCATGGAATAACAGTTCCAGAGCTAAAAATCGTACTAACACATGTATACACCAAAATTTTGCTATATTGACAAAGATCATGGAATAACAGTTCGAGAACTAAAAATGGTACTAACACATGTATACAATAAAATTTTGATATATTGACAAAGATCATGAAATAACAGTTCGAGAACTAAAAATCGTAATAACACATGTATACACTAAAATTTTGATATATTGACATAGATCATAAAATAACAGTTCGAGAACTAAAAATGGTACTAACATATGTATACGCTAAAATATTGCTATATTGACGAAGAGCCTGAAATAACAATTCTAGAGCTAAAATCGTACTAACACATGTATACACCAATATTTTGCTATATCGACAAAGAGCCTGAATAAACGTTGTAGAACTAAAAATCTTACTAACACATATGTACACCAAAATTTTGCTATATTGACAAAGAGCCTGAAATATTGACAAAGGACCTGAAATAACAATCGTAGAACTAAATGTCGTACTTACGCATTGTAGATCAATTTCTATAGCTATAATAAAATACAAAAGATTGTGTTTGTATGTGTAGCAAAACGCCTCCTGTCGTTTCAATCGGCCAATCGTATAAATTGGCATGTAGACTCATATGGGTCTCCGGAATAACTAAAAATCGTACTTACACATATACTTACAAGAAAGAGCTAAAATGAAAAAAAGCTATTAGTCTTATTATATTGAGAAATTGTGAAGCAGTCTCAGAATTGACAGTATGTAGCAGTAAAACAATCCGAAAAACAAATCCAAAAAACAAAAAAAATACTTGCAAAGACATGACACAGATCTGAAAAATGTACCAATGTTGGTATTCATGAACAAAACTTCAATCAGGTAAAGATATCAGTTAAGTATTCCACGAAATCAAGTTCAAATTCAACCTTCAAAAACCGGCAAGTAATAAAAATGACATAAAACTTCAACGTTCAGCGTCAAACTGATTACGGAACGTCAAATTTAAACGGACGCCATTCCATTTCTCAAACGATCCATCGGGTGCAGTGGATCCTCTCAAGATGCTGTGCTTCCAGTCTTTCTGGCAAGCTCCGAGCATGGTAAAAACGCTACCATGTGGCAACAAAACAGAAACTTCAGAGCGCGTGGTCCCGTTTCTTTTCATTGCAAAGCGTCGGGTGGCTCCAAGGGATACGCTGGCAATGGTTGGATAATCAGGAATACCACGTTCGTTGTCAGCGTGAAATCCAACTCCCTAAAAATACTGATAGGCAAAGTACATTTTCTATGTTATCTAATTGTTATGACGGTATTTTGTGATATTACCTCTTCGAGGGAACAATAAATGTTGATGAGGACACTGTTGAAGGAAACTTTGAGTTCTTTCTCCAACAAGGTCTTTAACAACAACAACTGTGGTGACCAAGAGTTGTTGGGCGGGTGGCGAACGCTTCCATATGAGTATGGAACCTCTGAAATCCACTTGACAGAGCGCCCGTTGACATGTGTCCAAGATTCCTGTTTGTATGATTTGTAAAGCTCTGCAAAGAGGGAATCAGCTATGCTCAAAACAGATTTATTGCAAACGTCAAGGGAAATTTGAGAGACGCCAAACACTGAAGATGAGCTGATAGTAAACGGCTGCAAAAATAAAATTAAGCCATGTAAAGCAGTCTTAAGCGTACTACTAATAGGCGGTGTGTAAACGTGATACAACGCCTTGGGTGAACTCGAGCGTAATGGACGGGTTCTCGAGAAAGAACTCAGACAGGCTTACTTCGTTTGTGCATGGAGCGAAAATAGAAGTAACATAAAATTTAACATTTTGCTTTACGTTATTGAGTCCACGCTCCAACAAATTCTTTTTTGAGAAATACAAAAGCAAATTTGAAAATTAATTACCGGACAGATATAACTATAGATAAATCTTTGAAATAAATAATTTAAAATCATTTTTGATGTAGCTGCAACCCAAAAGCAAGTGGACAAATCTCGTTGGCAGCGTTCCCTGTAAATCGTTGTACGCTAATTGGTGATATACAGATCTTTCTGAAAATATCCTAAACAGAACAATAAATTGAAAATCATTTTTTGCTTTTAACTACATAGCTAAGAAGTAAAACATCAAATTTCACAATTAAACAACAAAGACGCTAACTAAATAAATAAATAAATGAACGAACAAACCAACAAATGAACGAACAAACCAAAAATAAATAAACATAAATAAATAAATGAATAAATAAATACATACATGAATAATAAATAAAAGCAAAACTAAATGAAAGAAAATAATTAAATAAATATAGCACTAAATATCAACGAATAAACAAAACACACCTGATAAATAAATAAACAATAAAAAAATAAATCAATACATAAATAAATAAATACATACATAAATAAATAAATAAATAAATAAATAAACGCAAAACTGAAATGTACAAATAATTAAATTAACATGAAAAAATATATATCTCATGAACAAATAACCAAACAAACAGACCCATAATATAAATAAATGAAAGTAAATGAATTAAATAAATACACATACATAAATAATAAAAGCAAAACTAAATGAAAGAAAGAATAATTAAATAAATATAGAAATAAATATCAACAAATAAACAAAACACACCTGATAAATAAATAAGCAATAAAAAAATAAATCAATACATAAATAAATAAATAAATACATAAATGAATACATAAATCAATAAATATATAAATAAATAAAAGCAAAAGTGAAATGTACAAATAATTAAATAGACATGAAAAAATATATATGAACAAATAACCAAACAAACAGACCCATAATATGAATAAATGAAAATAAATAAATGAAATAAATACACATACATAAATAATAAAAGCAAAACTAAATGAAAGAAAGAATAATTAAATAAATATAGAAATAAATATCAACAAATAAACAAAACACACCTGATAAATAAATAAGCAATAAAGAAATAAATCAATACATAAATAAATAAATAAATACATAAATAAATACATAAATAAATAAATAAATAAATAAATAAAAGCAAAAGTGAAATGTACAAATAATTAAATAGACATGAAAAAATATATATGAACAAATAACCAAACAAACAGACCCATAATATAAATAAATGAAAATAAATAAATTAAATAAATACACACGCAGAAATAATAAAAGCAAAACTAAATGAAAGAAAGAATAATTAAATAAATAAACAAAACACGTGATAAAAATAAACAAAAATAAATATGTACATACATAAATTATAAATAAATATAAGCAAACTAAACATAATTAAATAAATAGAAGAACAGATAATTAAATAAATAAAGATGAACAAATAAAGAAACAAACATACGCAATCACGTGACATAGCGCGATATAGTCCAGCCCACATGATAATTGATAACTGTGGACGTTATTTGTCGACACTTGACAACAGACAACATTAAAAAAAAAACCCGTTACACGATACCATAACACCTTGACTTAAGTCTTCGGTGTAATGATGCAGTAGGTTTTTGTTTTCGGTTTACAGAAGACCTGGTTCATAAATTTTTGTGCTTCAACTTTTGAGTTTGAAGAAATCGATTTTAATTTTTTATGGATATGACGATTTTTAGTAAAGGTGCACGTGAAAAGTTAGCGTTTTTTTACGTTTCATATTTGATAGCCTGAAAAAAATCTTGCATCTTAGCCAAGTTTCCATATAATTTCAACAACTGATCAAACTTTTAGTATTCAGCTCAAATTTTAATCGCGAAATTTGATATTGATTGAGAAAGTGTATCTGAAACACCCTTTAAATAAAGGAAAACCTTCCTTTTTGCTCGAAATTTTATTAAAAAATTTTTTATTTTTAGAAAAAAAGTTTTCAGATATCATTCAGACTGCATTAAAATTCTCGAGAAAAAATGATTTGAAAATTTTCAAATTTTCAGACCAAAAAATTTAAAGCGACGTGACTCTTCACTCAATTTGTTAATAAATTTTCCAATTTTTGAACTTTTTTGCAAGATAACTGTGGTCTGAATTTTCCATGATTCAAGCACATGAAGCGGCTATTCTGCTCCAGTCTAGGCTTTTATTTTTGTTACCTCGTCCATGACTGATTTGTTGAACACTGGCCCAAAATAGTTAGTCGATCCACTGGAAATGGAAGAGTGGCTTTGGCCAGTCTTGTCGTAAGTGTATACAAACACCTGCTCCACCCTGCAATGGAAAAATACTTCAATTTATTATACAGTGCTGATTTAAATTAACCGGACAAAACGCGTTAAACTTGAAATTTAAAACGCATTTTTCTCAAATTGGGTTGAGTTTAGGTGAAAACCTATGAAGACAAAACTTGCTTAGAATTTTAGCAGAATTAATATGGTGTAATTTGTCTCGTAGGACATGACTTTCAAGGATAGAGAATCACTGGCAGAAAAGGTTTCTGAAAATTCATAAATTTGCAGTCGCTCTGGAAGCAGAAATGCATCAAAATTCCACAACAGAAACTCGACCTCAGATTATATTGTAATTCTGGCTTCCGAATTACGCAGAACCTCGAATGTCTGGAATTTACCTTTAGATAAGGCGAATAAATTAGTGATTAAAAAGGGGATTCTAATTTCTTTTCAATTCTCCAATTCTCTCAAAATCAGTTTTCAGACTAAATTTATTTTCATTCTAAAATTTAAAATTTTCATCATCAATTTGCGCAACGCTTCAAGCAGTAATAATAATACTTATATTAAGTTGGTTTTCATATTTCATATAATCATATCAAGCTCCATTTGGCCGTAATATTAGGTGAAACTCTTACGATATTGTGGAAAAAGCAAGAAAGTCGCTAAGAGGAAAACAGCCAAATCCAATGACTGACCTGTAGAACGGCATGAAGTGTGAGTTGTAGAATTGGAGTTGTTGATAAGTGGCGCTGCTAGGAGAAGACCAGAGAGCAACGGGATCAGTGGTTATGTCCAGGAACAGACAACTGCAATAATTGGCGGTGAACAATAACCGCACTTAAATAGATAACTAAGCATGTAGATAAAGTGCGCAAAAAATATTATGATTAAAATGACATTTGACAAAACTTGTATGATAGGAAAGCTTTTCAAGTAAAAAAAATATTGGTAAATTTTTCGATCAGTTTTTAGCTATACTGAAACATAAACCGTCTCAAATTTTCACTTCCTGAATTAGGCGCGTAATTTGAAGTCGTCGAAGGTCAATAAATTCTATTCCTTGGGTAATAGCGAGCGTCTTTTTAGCTTAGTATACTACTTAATCACTTCACTTAAATCTGCAACAATAATGCCGAAAGACCCGATTCCATACATTTTTAGAGCCATCATAGAAACTGTTTGATAGCATTGTATATGGTTGTGAAAGCAATAACAAATTAAGACACCCTGTAGTCATTCCTGCGACGACCGCAATCCACACAACCATCACTGCCAAAGGGTATGACGTCACCACATGGGCCCACTTGTAGAAGAAATTCTCCAGTCCATTCTTCATCCAGGTACCTCCAGCTTCAAATGCCAAAGTGCAGCCTTGACTTGCTTCCTCGAATCTGACCCCACCTGGGCTCACAGTGGCATCTATGTCCAGAGGACGATCATCTTCTTGCAACTAAAAAAAAAAGAAATCATTAAATATATCGACCATGTCCATTTCATGGCGTGGTGAGATGCTGATGCTCTCAATGGAGTTACAAAAAACTACGTCTTTCAAACAATAAATTAGGGCCACCCATTTTACTCGATCTCAAAACAGCATTTCATACCCTTAACCATCATGCCATTTTATTTAGAAGTTGCCATATGACGGACTTGTAAGCAATGCATAGCAAATCGCTTGCTTCAGAAGAAAATTTTGCGGTGTGCCGCAAGGCTCCATTTTAGGTCCACTTCTTTTTCTTTTATAGGTTTAAGATACATTGAGTGTCCTCACAAAACTGGATATGTAATAGCTTGCAGATTATACAATTTTGATAGCAAATGATCGACCCATTGACCAGTTAGATGATGCTTTCAAGGCTGTTGCTCAGTGGTTAGCGTCTAATAGGCTCCCACTAAACATGAAAAAAAAACTTTCAATCAATGCTTCTGATACAGGCACTATTTTACACACAGAGTCAAAGCTTCACTTCTTAAACATAACCATCAGATAGTTCAAAAAGGAACGCAAGGAAACAGAAAAAAAACACAAACTGACTTAATTTTTGAAAAAATTTCAACTTTCGAATTTCAAGGAAAAGATGTATGGCTTTAAAGCTCTTCGAATTTCATTTTAAAAAAATGGTTGACACAGTTTTGATTAAGCTAACCAAACTTGTTATTCCACTTGAAATCTTAAAACTAAACCATTTTGTTGCATTAAGCGCATTTTGTATAACTTTTAGCAAATGAACTTGAATTGAACTCAACACAATTACCTAATTCCAGTCACTAATGCATTATTTATATGAACAAATTTAAAATGTTCAAAAATTTTCAGTTTCTACTAAAAAAAAACAGATCCCGACTGGATTCGAAATTTTAGGATTTGCCGTCTCAAGCATGGGTGCTACCACTGCACCAAATTCACAGAACACTCCTTGAATTTATATAAAAAAACTTCCAACTAATTTTAACGAACAGCATGAAAAAAATAGCAAAAAATAAGCAAAATTTCTTGGAAGTCAATTAGTTTCCCAAAAACCGGAATACACTGAAATATTTTTATATTTGAGGAAAAAATTCTCAAATTTTAGGAAAATTTGATGCTGCGGCTACTAAGCCGATGAAAAGCAGACAAACAGAAGTCCTACAATAATTTTTGACGCGCGGACAATTTTCCGCATACAAAAAAAAAACAGGTCCTTGCCGGATTCGAACCCTTGACCATGGTCTTTATAAGGCAGGTGCGTTAGATCTTCCCCACATGCACGATTTAACTTCTGACTTTTGATTTCGTATGAAGCAAAGGTAATATGATTCAAGTGATTCTGTTAAACTAGTTGTTAACACGAAAAAAAACTATATTCCGGTTTAATAACGCTTGCTAATCGCAAGCGTTATTCTTAATTGTTAAATTAATTAGTAAGAACAACAAGGGTGAGTTCTCATTGGAAAAGCGCACCTATTAAAATTTCAGTCTAACAGGACAGTCATGCGTCAATTCAACTTGATTTTCAGGATGCTGCTTTTGCGCTCAACTTCTTAGTCTAAAGATTGCAATTACGGTTGGGCAATTGACGCTCGTTTTTTTTTATTTCCAAAATGTCCATTTCTAATAGCTTATTTTAATTTATGGTTATTCTCAAGCACGAAGAACCGAAAGTGCGATAACGCTTAACCAATCAATGCTCTTCAAACTATTCTAAACTGACTAATTTTATCGTTTATTTCCTTTGAATTTATGAACAATTAATTCTGATTGGCTGAAAAAAATTTCGCGCAAGAGCGACTTCTTCTTCTACTTACTCTTCTATTCCTCGAGTACTTGTACACATTATCCGCCAGCATCACGCCCAAAAACACAGCAGCTACAGCTATAAAAACCGCTGCCGCAATCACCATGTAGCCATAGAATCCAAACAGCTTCCAGTGTTGTTTTGGGGGTGGGTATGGGACTGGGGCGGGACAGCTTGCATCGCAGTCGGCACAGCTGCAGGCCAAACTCACTTCGTCTATGTTCTGATTGCAAGGGAAGGTTGAGTAGTTCATGGGCACTATGCCTAAATCGTCATCATCATCATTATACTTAGCCAATAAGAATAAAAAAACATGCTTAGTATAACTTGCAGGATATTAAAGGATAAACTTGCAGGATCTACCTAAAATATTCAGTAAACTATACCAGGGGCGGATTTAAGGGGGATGCCCCCTGAGGGATTCGACCTCTTCACCACTCACAGGCCCCCCTTTGCTACTATTTTACGACATCCATTTTTGGCTGGCCGACCCTAAAACTTTTCTAAAGGCGCCAATGTGCACTAATTTTTAGGGCGGAGCGCGCGCCGAAAAACGCAATTTTTTGGTCAAAACTTTCCAAAAAGTGCCTAAACACGCCTTTTGATTCTCAAAATTAGCCCACACGCAGAGATTCGCTCAAGATAGGATCTTTATATCGATTTGGGAAAGCTCGGAAAACCAATTTGGTCGAGTAAAAAAAGGTCAACAAAAATTTTGAAATCCAATACGCCTCCCCCTCAGAGAAATCCTAGATCCCCTGAACTATACCCATTTTCTGTACCGTATTTTGAAGATATTCCTCATTCAAGAGACCAAGATCAGAAGGCTTTCTTGTAGAAGAAAAGAATTGTCTGAAAGATTGCGTAGAAAACAACAAAAATTTTAGTTCCCGAAGATTGAACAATTCTAAGACCTAGTTTATTTCGTATGTAATTTTTTGTACAATATACAATCGCTAACCATCAGGCAATTTGGTCGACGAATTAGTTATTTGCGAGTTTAACTGCACAGGTGACTGTCCATTGTTCTTCGATCCCAAGAAGTCAACCAGAGCTTGAGGAGAACACTTCGACACTTCTTTGTCGCACAACAGTGACAGGGCTGCCATATTATTCCCTACAAATAATTACGACTATTCAAAAGAAGTTTTATACCGTAGCCTTTACCTTTATCGAAATAGTCTTAGCATACTCTACATAGCGTTTTTATAAAGTTCGAATCACAGCTTAACGGTTATCCGATGAACGAACAACTTTGTGAAACCGTTGCTCAAAGAAACTACAACTGAAAGACTGATTCTCGGTTAGCGCTAAAAGAGGGTAATAATTCCAGCAAAACGAGACGGAATCCATTGTTTCGACTATGAAATGAGCACGTATTTATAATTCGATTGTTTTCCTTGCGCAAATTAGAAAAATCGTCAAATCGTCGTACAAAGTAGAATGATACATACTGAAGCCCTTGTAGCCCTAATTCGTCAGACTAATATTTAAACGGCCAACCGACAGTTGGAAATGATTCAAAATATATTTTCGAATATTATTTTTGATGTTCAATAGTGGAGTTTGCCTTCCCTTTAACAAAGGAAATGAATTGAACTTAGAAAGAAATCAGAAGCCAAACCGCGACGAAAAATCTGATAAATTTTTTTAAATCACCACGACCTTTATAGAGTTCACTTCGTACATCGACACCATGGTTACTTCGCTGTCGAGAATAAGGACGTTGATTAAAATAACACTATCAAGACTGTTAAACTGCATATCGAATCACGGAAAATAATCCTCGGGAAAGTATTGGCATGGCAGTTCATCAAACTTTTCAAACCCAAGATTTTTCATATGAACAAAATTTGGCAAAAACTTCGTGTTTTTTGCCTAAATTGATTCGCAAAAATTGTGAGGGTAAATTTTTCAAACCATACTTGACGATTTCAATCTATTGGCAAATATTCATTTTCACTGCTTGAAAAACGTATTTGAAAAAGTAACTGTCTCGAAAGATATGAAGCAGAAAAAAATTAATGTCTTCTGTTTATGAGCAAATTACTCAATTTACTCGCATGCTGTTAATGAAGCTTGATTTGGTTTATCAAAAAGCACGTCTTCAAAGCAAATTATTCAAGGATTTAACTGAGAAACTATCAGGGCTAACTATTAAAATTGAAGTTGTTTGATAGCTTGAAGATATTAGCAAAAAAATGCAGTTTTCCAGCAAACTAAAGAAGGAAAAAATAAAGCTTAAAGCAACTCGCAACAAGCATGTTTTTCATACAACAACTTTAAACGATGAATTTACGAAACAATTCAAGTTGATTATCCCAGCTTGCACCCGAAGGCAAGAGTCAGATTTCTTATGCAAGCAACTGAAGAGAAACCATTTTGAAACATTTCAAGTTGATTTTGATAATTTAAAACAGCTCGCAAAGATGATTGCAAAAGCAGGCTATGCAAATCATGAAAACTTGGAGTTTTCTTCCGTAAGTTCTATAACCTTGTATCAAATCGAAAAAAAAATAACCGAATGTTCAAGATGGGTTACTAAGAATGCAACAAAGAAACATTTCAAGTGGAGTTTGTGAACCTGTGTCTTTTCGCAAACAAATTTTTTCGAGCAAATCAAAAAAAGAAACGAGATAATTTGAAGCTATTTTAACAGCTTGCAGCGCTTCGCACAAATTTAGTTGTGCGAGCAAGGTATTTAAAGAAACATGAGTATTTGATGTTCTTTTAGATAGTTCGAATCAATTCACAAAAAAAAACACTCCAAGAAGGAAATTGAAAACTTGAAGTTGATTCAATAGCTGTTTTCGAGACAATATTTTTGCGCAAGCGGTCTGATGACCGGTGGTTAATACAATTACTTGTTCATTTTCAATCGAATAATAAAAGTATGAAGTAAATAGTAAAAATGTAAAATATTTATCCAAGCTATTTTTCAAAGGAGGAAAATACGAAACATTTATTTAGATAACTTTTAGATGCAGATATGATCAAAATATTTGTTGAATTACAAAAAAAAGCAGATTTGAGAAAACGATTCAGTAAGTTTGTTAGACAAAATGTTTACAAAAAAAGTCAATGTCTCGAAGTTATATCTCTTGCTAAAATAAAAGCGAACATAAAAATTGCATGGCTCATATTTACCTAATAGATGAAGAGAAAAAATTTCCAAAAAAAAGAAACAAGGATAGCCGGTTACTGTGCAAGTGGCACAAAATGTTCTTATAAAAACTCTTAGAAAAACCGAACTATTTTCAAATTATTGTCGTTTTTTTTCCATCGTGACTTTTTTTACGACGAAACAATTCAAGTTGCTTCTCCCAGCTTGCACCCAAAGGCAAGAGCTAGTTTTCTTATGCAAGCAACTGAACAGAAAGCATTTTGAAATACTTCAAGTTGATTTAGATAATTTAAAACAGCTCGCAAAGATGATTTCAAAAGCAGGCTATGCAAATCATGAAAACTTTTTCCGTAAGTTCTATAACCTTGTATCAAATCGAAACGAATGTTTAAGATAGGTTACTAAGAATGCAACCAAGAAACATTTCAAGTTGAGTTTGTGAACCTGAGTTTTTTCGCAAACAAATTTTTTCGAGCAAATCAAAAAAAGAAAGGAGATTATTTGATGCTAGTTTAATAGCTTTTAGATAGCTTTTAGCTCGTTTAGAAAGCTTTTAGATGCAGATATGCTTAAAATATTTGTTGATTTACAAAAACGCAGATTTGAGAAAATGATTCAGTAAAATACTAGACAAAATGTTTACATATAAAGTCTATGTCTCGAATTTATATCTCTTGCCAAGAGCGAACATAAAAATCGCATGAATCATATTTACCGTAATCGACGAAGAGAAAAAATTTCCAAAAAAGAAACAAGGATAGCCGGTTACTGTGCAAGTGGCACAAAATGTCCCGACCATAGTCTTAAAAACACATCAAAATTTTTTCAAATTATTGTCGTTTTTTTCGGCGTGGTGGTGTGATAAAAGAAGCTAAACAAAAAACTGAAGATTAGTTTTATTCGACAGTCATAGTAAAACAAGCATATTGAAAAACAATTTTTTTTTAGAATTTGCAGTTTTATGAATTTTTGAAAATTTTGATTCCAAAAAGGCGTTTAAATACTTTAAGAAAACTAACGTTACTCAAAATTTTTGAAATTTTTTAACGTGGTTCGAATTATGACTAAAAGGGCTTTAATATGATATATCACTCAGCCCAGTCTGATGATTATTTGTGGTACCTCATTTTGCGTGAAGACAAAAAAAACTAAAGCACACCAAAAAAGTTCCTCCCCATTTTCAAACAAAAAATTTCTACAAAAAATGTTGTAACTCAGTTACCTCCACCATAGGAAATTTAGAAATGGCATTCACAAAGCTGAAGCTTCAAAAAAACATACACTAATTAAAAACCGACATTAAAATATGAACCTTAGGGGTGAGAAGGAAATATAACCTAGGGTGTGTTTTTTGTCAAGCAAAACAAGGACTCAAAGAGCGCTTGGGCACCAATCGATATTTAATATTAAAGCTTTTCTTAGTCATGCTTCGTATTCCAAAAAAAAATCAAAAGACTTGATTCAGTGTCAAAGCAAAGGGACTGGTTTGCATTTTTCGGGCTTTCAGACTTATTCACGCACCAAGCTCCTAATCTGATATACTTTCATTTTAAAACCTTTCAGCTTTTATGAACTAATTTTACGGTTGATCATCCTGTGGTCACACGACTTGGTACTACTTACACAGTAACTGGTTCCTCTTGATAAGATCTAGGATTTTTGCGAGCAAAGTGTTCGAGGGTAGGAAATTGTGCCAAAATTTCAACTTTTTCCGCCCCAATTTTTCTATTATCCTTTGCTAAACATGACACAATACTCGACGACGACGCTTTGAATCTTTTCCCTAATCGTTTGGCTTTTTATTTGGTGGCTATTTTTAAAATTAACTTTAGGCTTTCAATATCAGCTTTGGTTTTAAGAAAACTAATTATATCTCTTGCTATACGAAAAGAATTTGAAAGATTTCAGGTATGCTGGAAAAATTGCATACCTGCAAACTGAACGCCAACACACGAGTCATACATATTATCTACGTATGACTGGTCCCAATATACAGTCATTTCTTCAGCTGACATTTCATCTCCGTATTCTTTGGCTCTTGTCACATCTACAAACTGACTTTGGTTTGGGTCACACGTATACGCACACCAGAGTTCCAAGAAGTTCCGGTAACACGCTGGACACTGTGAGAGAAGCTGTGATGGAACTGCCATGTTTGATTTAAGAGATATAATTTGACTAGCGTCACAACACACTGCTGGGTCTTCGTTGTTGACGTAAAAATTTGGGCATAGAGACTGCAAAATACTAGTTGCTTCATCGTCATCAACAGGTTGAGGTTCAGTTTGGTTCACACACGGCTGATCCGAGGCACCCGATTTCATGCAAGAACCCCGCAAAGCACATCTATTTTCCTCATGTATTGGTGTATAATCTCTACACCACGTAGTGCTCAGTAAAAAAGCACATAAAACAGATGTTAAGACGTAGAATTTCATTCTTGGTTCATTAGTTCACTTCGTTTCAGGTTAAACCGAGCATATGAAGTTGATTTTTGAATAGTTTAAAGTTGAATTAGAACTAGCTCGAATAAAATTTTAGCAACGATTAATTAAATGCAACGCAAAATCACGCCATCGATAGAGCACAAATAACCATAAATAAAAAGAACAATAAGCTGGGCTAATATATTGAGTGGAATTCAATTTAGCAAATATGCTTTGACTGTGACATTAACCGTCTGAAAGAATATGAACTTTTAAGAATATTAGCTTGAATTTATAACTTTAAGAAGCGCTTTGATTGCCAAATTGGGCAACCGATATTTTCGAGAACAAATGTTTCTTACTTTTTGACTTTTTTACCAGCCATTTAAAGCGGAAGCTTTTTATATCACCCTAAAGCTATTAATGTGCTCAAATTCAGAAAAAATATGCATTTTACCAGCGAAGTTATGGGGGTTTGAAAAAGCGCGATTCAAAAAGTTTGAAGCAATAACAAAACAAACTATTTCCTTTGAAGGGCAGTCGGAAACTTAAAGACTTTGCCCCGTTACGACCAGTCATTCCAGCCAGTCTTAAAAACTAAAGAAGAATTTGATCAACAAACATTTTGCGGCACACAATAGACAACTTAGACAAATTGATCAAAGGCTGATAACTAAACTTGAATCTTCTACAATTTAAAGTTATTTCAGCTATTTAAAATTTTCATTTGTCAATTCCTCCTTGTCCGAATCCGAATGACGACTAATAAGACTTAAGTATAATACCACACTTAACCCCCGGCATGTTTTCCATGAGGCAGACCAAATTGGCTGGAATATCAATAAAGTATAGTCAACAAACAGTTCGAAAAGTTTCAAGGAACGCATGTAAAAATGAAAGCAATGATAGACACTCTTGGAAATTCAATAACAAATTATGATTGATTTTTTGATACAATTAACCCACTTTAAAACACAGAGGCAAAGCTTCACTTTGCTAACATGAGCAAAAAAGGCCAAAAAGTAGCATTAAAAGGGTCAAGAAAAAAAAACTTAAGTTTTGAAAAATAACCCTTTATGAGAATTGAACCTCAGACAATCGATTTTCACCAAGGACTACCCTACACAATTGGGCCACTGACACTAAAAGAAAACCAAGTCAAGCGATAAAGCGTCAAAAAGGAGCTTCAAAATGCATTAAAAATAAATTTAACTTATTTGAAATGTAATTAAGTAAAGGCAACCACACTAACTGTGCATGTAATAAATTGGAAAGTATAAATCCAAATTGTGAATCAATTATGCATTACAATTATTTCGCAAATTATACTGAAATCTAAAAACTTTCCGCTTGTCTAAAAACTTTTCGCTTGTCTAAAAACTGGGTCAACAGGTAAATTTTTAATTCGCTGAAAAACCCAGAAACCCCCTTTCGAAACTAGAAGCGATTGCGTTTTTTTTGCGTTTTGTTCGCATTTGTAATTAGGGAGCGCAACTAACCTAAATTTCGGTAGATGAAATTGCATTGAACTCTAAAAAGTGCATATATACTTAAGCGCATTCGTTAATACATTTAGTTGTGCAAACTTATTTAAAGCTAGCATATATAAAAACAAAGTATGAATGCACGTCTAAAGTTAATACAGCATTTTTCTGAAAAAAAACATTACATCATCAAATCCCATATCATTGAAAGTCTTTATCACTTATATATTTTGTTTATTTTGATATTATTTTTGTAAATCAGTGTGGTCGGAACTATCTATACTGCTAGCGCAGTAGCAGCCTAACTTTGATTCTATGTGCTTGCCTCAAAAAACAATTATACAACCATACCACGGCGTATTTTTTTTCTCGATCGATTGAAATCATAATTTCAGATTTAGAAAGGTAGTTTTTGAGAAAAGTCAAGTTTTACAAAAACGGTAAGCAAGTCGAAAAATTGACATTTCGAGGTGCAAAACATTGTGTACAACAATTGAGTAAGAACGAACCGCTTATGCAGGGGATCTTACCACAACCCGTTCTACCCATTGAACTATAGATCTGATTTGAGAGGGTGGTTTTCGAGAAAATTAAGAAAATCGAAAAATTTTGGCCAAATATTACCACCCCCCCCCCCCCCCCCCACAGAATCATTTGAAGGCTGTAGAAAAGGAAGTATGCTAAAATGAGACTCGGTAAAAATGACGACAAACAGACAGAGTAGTGGCAAAAATTTCTTTAGCAAAGTATCAGAAAAATAGTTTTTGCAATAAATACTTTCAAAGGGACTCCAAAAAAACTTTTGAAAAACCAAATCCCATACATATTCAAAATACCTGTTTTGATCAAACCGAAAACTACAAGCAACATTTCAAAAAATGCGAATTGAATGGTCCTTTTTAAATGCAGACAAGCTCAAAAATATCTGTTTGCTGAGGAAAGTACAAAGGGTCATTGCCAATTTCAGTCCTCTAAACAAAGTTGATTCTAGAAAGGGATGGGAAATCAGAAATACTTGAAAACGCTTCATCTTGTTCCTTCTTCAAACGACTTTTGGTTATCCAAACAATAAAAAGTGGTATTTGAAGAAAACTAGCGAGTAACGCACCTCCGGTGCTTCGCATTTTGACAACTCATAAAAAACCGCATATATTGGAAAACCTGATCTGCATCCTTTGAGTATACTCTGACAGCACTCAATTACAGATTTTGGCTCAATTTTTCAAAGTTTTTTGATATCTATGTTCCTTGAAACTTCTTAAAATGACCTAAAAACGTCACAGCTTGCAAACTTAAAGCAATTAAGCTGTCGCATTTGGACACAAAATTTGCAACTCCTGAAAGTACTCTCACAATACCCATCTACAGGGTTGGTAACATCAAAAAAATTTTAATATTCAAATTTAAGTTTTCTTTTGAAAAATAATTGAAAAAACCATGAAAAACGCCATATCTCGAAAACTACAAAGATTTAAGTACTCAAACTTGGAGGCAAAATTCGATACCCCTGGGAGCGCCCCGACAAAGCCTCACTATAGAGTGAGATAAGAACTTTTTGAATTTTTTTGTGAAGTTCTTTGATCATTTTTGAAAAAGACATATCAAATGTCACATCTCGGAAACTAAGAGCATTTGAGCAGCCTCAACTGGACGCCAAAGCTGCAAAATCGAACTCCTGAGAGTACCCTCACAGCACTCAATTACAAGCAGCTCCCAAGAGCACTCTGAGAGCCCCCAAAACAATGGAAGTTTTTCGGAAATAAAAAACATGGAAAAGTTTTTCGTTAAACATGCAAATTGAACAAGCTTAAACCTGGCGAAATATTGGAGCCCGGATTTAAACCTAAATTAGCGTGTACCGCACCTCCGGTGCTTCGAATTTTCAACAACTCAAAAAACTATTCTTTGAGTGTACTCTGACAGCATTCAGTTATGGGGTTCGTAATTACAAATTTTGCAAAGTTTTTTATTCAAGTTTTTCATACAAATTTTAAAGAACCATAAAATTTTTATTTAAGTTCTTCGAAAAATTTAAAATGAACTAAGAAACGTCACATCTGGGAAACTGAAAGCACATGAGCAGTCGCATTTGGACGCAAGATTTGCAACTCCTGAGAGTATTCTTACAGTACTCAACTACAACGTTGGGAAATTCAAATTTAGGAAACCTTCACCTTAAGTTTTCTAAAAAAGGTATTCACAACTCGAAAACTACCAAAATTTGAGCAGTCTTTTTTGATGGTAATATTCGCTTGAAAGTACGCAACTACAGGGCTGGGATTTTCACTTTAACGAATTATTTTGTAATTTGAGTTTTCTGAAAATTTCCAAAAAAAATCACAAAAATCGTCGTATCTCCTAAGCAAAAAGACGGGCATTTTTAACTGGAGGCCAAATTTGCAACCCTTGAGATTACTCTGACAGCCCCCCAAATACAGGTTAGGAAATTCACACTTTGAAAAAAAATCTCGAAAACTACACGGATTTGAGCAGTCAAATTTGGCGGTAAATTTCGCAACTCCTGAGAGTACCCTGACAGAGTTTCACTACAGAGATGATAATTTCAAGTTTTGTGATAACTTTTATATCTAAGTTTTCTATAAAATTTTGAAAAAATTCAAAAAAACGTCATATCTCGAAAACTACAAGGATTTGAGCAGCCATAATCAGAGGCAAGATTCGCAACCCTTGAGAGTACCCTCACAATATCCAACAGCAGGATTGAGATCTTCAACGTTTTGGAAGTTTTTAACATCTAAGTTTTTGAAAAGTTTTTGAGAAAATAAAAAAAAAACGTCATATCTCGAACACTACAAAGATTTGAGCAGTGAGAATTGGAGGCAAGATTCGAAACCCCTGAGAATACCCTGAAGGCATCCAACTACAGGGTGAAAACTTCAAAAATTGAGAATTTTTTAAAATTAAATTTTCCAGAATCTTGAGAATTGCCTATCTCGTAAAATAAAAGGATTTGGTTATTTATATAAGGAGGCCAGAATCGCAAAACCTGGGAAAAATCTGATAATGTCCTACTATTGTGTTGCCAATTTCAAACTTGATGAAATAAACACTGAATTTAAACTGGAAAATCGAAAATAAAACCTTTACCATTGCAATATACGATATAGCTTAAACGTGAAAAAATTCTTTTGTTAAACAGGCAAAAACAATACGTTGAAAGGCTTAACATGGCGAGATAGTGAAGCCCGCATTTAAATATATAATAGATAATAGATGAAAGTTAAAAAATTAGGCGACGGGTAGACAGATATAAGCTAAATAATTAAAAAAGCAGTTATACAGACAGACTTAATTTGGCCTCGGAAAAAATACTGAAAAATTAATGACATTGCGGAAAACTAATTGAAAAATTTTCTTAAGCATTGCAATATATGATATAGCTTAAACATGAAAAAATTCTTTCGTTAAACATGCAAAATTATTATGCTGAAACATGGGAGATAGCTGTCACTCGCATTTAAATATAGTATAGATAGATAGCAGAGCCCCGATTTAAACATATAATAGATTATTAGCTATTGAGGTTTGAAAAAGGCTACGACTAATTAGGGTAATTTGCTGAACTAACTTAGGCGCTTTTTCTACTGACCTGATTTAAATTATCCGGACAAAAAGAATAGAAATTGAAATTTAAAAAGCGTTTTTCTCAAAAAGGGTTGACATTAAATGGAAAATGATAAAAAACATGGTAGAATTAATATGGTGCAATTCAGTTTTGCGACATTTCAGCCCAACCTTTACCCCAAAAACGGATAGCTTTTAAATTTTTCAGTCAATCAAAAATTACACTACAACTAATTGGTCATATACAGCCAAAACTATATCAAAGTGAGCCCCTATATAGCCCAACAGAGTTTAAGCATGATAAAATCTCCAAAAAATTGTTTTAATATGAAACAACAACACTTAAGAGGTGTAAAAGAGCTACGTAAGAGGCTAACTTTGATATAGTTTTGGTAGAAAATGACCAAGTAGTTGTATTGTAATTTTTGATCGACTAAAAAACCAAAAAGTATCCGTTTTTGCGAAAAGTTTTGGGCCCGAAGTTCTCGAAACAAATTGCGTCATATTAATTTTGTTAAAATTTAAGCAAGTTTTGTTTTCATCATTTTTCACCTTCACCTAATCACAGCCAAATTTGACAATAACGCGTTTTAAAATTCAAATTTTATGCGTTTCGTCCGGATAATTCAAATCAGCACTGTATTCGTTTAAGAATATTTGTCTATAAGAAAATTTTATGAAGTTGATAAACAACGATAATTTTTGAGCACTCCAGTTTTATATTAGCGCTTTTGCGACGAAAAAAAATCTTCGCGCTCCAGTTTTAAATTAGCGTTTTAGCGACTAAAAAATACGTCCCAGAAAACAATCCAACTCGATTATGGGATAGCTAATGGTCAAGACGATGCGTTGCTAGACACAAAATAGAACACTTTGTGCTTGACGCAGCCTGTGCAAGAAGTCGATGGTATTTTTTGAAATTTTTTCCAGCAAAAAGTACTTCAGACGCTTTGAAAGGCAACTAGCAAGCACGTCTTCATTAATAAATCGGCTAGCAGAAATTAATGATTCTTTGAAATATCTCAAGCATACTTAAGCTTGAACCGCGGTACAAACATGATAGTTGGGTCAAAAAGAAAAGCAAGAATGAAAGATGGGTCTCACAATTTGTGTGATATATTCGAAAACAAGTAATTAAATGTTACTAGCGTGTAACGCACATCCGGTGCTTCGAATTTTCAAAAACTCGAAAAATATCGCATATATTAGAAATAAGATCTGCAACTTTTGAAAGTACTCTGACAACACCCAATTACAGGGTTGGTGATTTCAAATCTTGTTTAAATTTTTCAATTCAAATTTTGAAACACCATAGAGTTCTGTGAAGCTTTTCATATTTACCTTTTTCAAAACATCACATCTCGGTAACTAAAACCAATTGAGCAGTTACATTTGAGCGCAAGATTTGCAAATCCTGAGAGTACACTCACAGTACCCAACTACAGCGTTGCGAATTTCAGATTTTGAGAAACTTTAAATTCAAGTTCTCTATAAATTTTTTTTGAAAAACCATAAAATCATCATATCACAAAAACTACATAGATTTGAGCAGTCATATTTGGAGGTAACATTCGCAACATCTGAGTTTACGCTGACAACCCCAAACAACAGGGTTAGGAATTTCAAATTTTGAAAATAAAATTTAAATTCAAAATTTCGGATAATTTTTTGAAACAATTAAAAAATTACAAAAAACGTCATATCTGGAAACTACAAGGATATGAGCAGTCATATTTGGAGGCAAAAATCACAAATTCTGATAATTTTTTGAAACAATTAAAAAATTACAAAAAACGTCATATCTGGAAACTACAAGGATATGAGCAGTCATATTTGGAGGCAAAAATCACAAATCCTAAGAGTAATCTGACAGCCCCCGATTACAGAGTTGCGAATTTCAAAATTTGAAGCAAAAAAATTTAATCTAAGTTTTTGATAAATTTTGAAAAAAAAATCATAAAAAACGTCATATCTCAAAAACTACAAGGATTTGAGAGGTGAGATATGGAGGCAAGATTCGCAATCCCTGCGAGTATCCTGACAGCGCCCAACTACAGAGTTGAGATTATCACATTTTATGAAAATTTTCAAATTCAAGTTTTCTAGATATTTTTGAAAAACAATAATGCGTTCAAAAAACAGCTTAAAAATGGCGATATAGTGAAGCCCGCATTTAAATATATAATACATAGGGACACTCAGGTCTTCACCTTAACAGGCTTAAGCATTCTCGTCGAATTCATCATCCTGTATTATGGATGAATTCATCTACTCCTAGATATCAAAACTTAAGGTCAAGTTTCATGCTTCTTCTGTTTTCTCAAATGTGTTCTAATATACATTGTAATATATACAAAGGAAAAATATATTATTCTACAGATGTGATATGAAAAGATATTCCATTACAAATATTCTATAAAGAAAACTGAGTTTAATTTGTATAATTTCATTTCTTCTTCTTTTTCTCTCGTTTTCGTTCCTTTTTTGCGAGAACTTCCTGTTGGCTTTCTTCAGTGACTCGCTTGTACACTCCGTAAATGATGAAGAAAACAATAGCCGGTACTGCGAACATTTTAGCTAACAGAAGATACTCGTGCCAATTGTCTTTTTTAACTAGGTCAACTAGTTCCACGTCGAATATAAGTGTGGCCATTGGAGGTATAGTAGGCGGAGCTCCCTTAGCACCGTATGCTAATTCAGGTGGGATTATGAGTTGTTTCATTTCGCCTACACACATGCCAACTATTCCGATTTCCCAGCCCTAAAATTTAAAGACTAAGTTCAGGCTTTTTTCAATAACGAACCAACAAATTCAGATGATGATCACGCTTGCTAGAAAACCGAATCATTTGGTCATGCAGCTAGCAGTCTCGTCAGTTCATAAAAGAAAATAGTCTGTAGCAAACACGTCTACAGTTTATTGTCAATGCAATTAGGTACAAAAGCGTTGAAATTTCAAGAATAATTGCGAACCTTGATGACGCTTTTGGCACCCAATTGAAAATGCAGCGGCTGTTTTCTACTGTAGGAAGAGTCAAAAGTGACTCCATTTGGCAGTTTGCCTACGTAATGCACGTGAACAAAGTCCTGATCTGCTGCAGTGGTGTAGGAAGTACACTGGTCCGCTTTACGTGTTATTGTCGACGTCACTTGGGGTTCATCGGAGGCGTAGACAAGCAGGAAAAACATATGAACTGCACACAAACCAAGTAGCATAATTTATCTACAATGACATCATAACACATGATGTAACAATACGACAGTTTGGTCCAAAACTTTTACAGTACGAAGGACTTCGTTCATATACTCCAATGAAAAGTTTTTTTTCCGAAAAAGAACGGTCAGGTTTCGTTAGCTTAAAGAGCACGAACAAGACCATTCAGGCCAACTATTGCTGCCACAGAAAATAAACCAAATAAGCACACATAATGGAGCATGCAGACTTCAAACATACAGCTTGTAATCTTAATAAATAAACGCGGTCGAGAAACCCTTGAAAACTAGCATGCAACGCACGTCCGGTGCTTCCAATTTATGACAACTCAAAAAACGGCATATACTTGAAATAATATTTGCATCCTTTGAGTGTACTCTGACATAACCCAAGGATTACACAGGGTTGGTAATTTCAAATTTTGTTAAGTTAGTCAAACTTTTTATAATTCAAATTTTGAAAAACCATACAATTTTGTAATTTTTTGATATCAGTTCATTGAAAACTCTTAAAATGATACAAGAACGTCACATCTCGAAAACTAAAAGCAATTGAACAATCGCATTTGGACGCAAGATTTGCAACTTCTGAGAGTACTCACAACAGTCAACTACAGGGTCGGGAACTTCAAATTTTGAGAAAATTCAAATTTAAGTTTTCTTATTTTATTTTTGAAAAAACCAAGAAAAGTGCCATATCGCGAAAATTACAAAAAATTGAGCACTCATATTCGATGGCAAGATTCGCAACCCCTGAGAGTACTCTGACAGCCCCAACTTCAGGGCTAGGAATTCCACAAATTTTAGGTTTTCTGATTTTTTTTTAAAATCATTGAAACGTCATATCTCAACAACTATAAAAATTTAAGCAGTCATTTTTTAAAAACTCGGAACCCCAGAGCAGTTTCATTTGGACGCGAAACTGCAACATGAAACTTCTGAGAGTACCCTCACAGTAACCAACTACAAGGTTGAGAATTTCAAATCATTTGAATTTTTTAAAATCCAAGTTTTCTGAAAAATTAAAAAGAAATCATAAAACACTTTATATCTCGAAAACTACAAGAATTGAAGCAGTCATAATTGGAGTCAAAATATCCAACCCCTGAGAGTACTCTGAAAAACCCCATTTCAGAAATGGGAATTTCAAATTTTGAAAAAAAAAAATAAAATTCAAGTTTTCAGAATTTTTTTCAAAAAATCACACAAAACGTCATATCTCGAAAAGTACGAGGATTTGAGCAGTCACATTTGGAGGAAAAATTCGCAACTCCTGGCAGTACCTTGACATAGCCTCTCTATAGAAATGAGAACTTAAAATTTTGTGAACTTTTCTATATCTAAGTCCTTATAAAAACTTAGAAAAATCCTAAAAAATCTCCAAAACTACAAGGATTTAAGCAGTCATAATCAGAGACAACAGTCGCGACCCCTGAGAGTAACCTCACAGTTTCCAACTACAGGATTTAGATCTTTGAAACTTAAATCTTCTTTAAATCTAAGTTTTTTGAAAATTTTTGAAAAAATCATTGAAAAACGTCACATCTCGAAAACTACAAAGATTTGAGAAGTGAGATTTGGAGGCAAGATTCGCAACCTCTGAGAGTACCCAACTACAAGGTTGAAAATTTTATATTTTTTTTCAAGTTACGTTTTCTATAAATTTTTGAAAAATCTCGAAAATTGCCGTATCTCGTAAACAAAAAAGATTTGGTAACTCATATATGGAGGCCAAAATCGCAACACCTGGGGAAGCCTTGACAGCATCCCAATTATGGGTTGCTAATTTCAAACTTTGTAAAATAAACACTGAACTAAAAGCGGAAAATCGAAAAAAAATCTTAACCATTGCATATACGATATAGCTTTACCGTGAAAAAATTCTTTTGTTAAACATGCAAAAATAATAGGTAAAAAAAGTTTAAACATGGCGAGATAGTGAAACCCGCATTTGAAAATATAATAATTTGATAAAATTATCGAAACTATGTGATAAGCCAAAATTTATAGACTTTAGTTCTGGAAAGATGACCCATTTAACACTCAGACCGTTGCTTGTGAGAGACAGAGAAAAGCCTAATTGACCCCTTGCAGAATTTGAAAAATTGCAGCTAATTTATAAAGAGCGACAATACAGGCAGTTACATTTTGCTGACAAAATACAGTTAACATTATGATTATTGGTCATCAACAGCCTCCTAGAGGCTACTTGATTTTTCTTCATCCATTCACTGATGACATCGAAGATCAACTTTCAGATGATTGACCAGTCTGATAACCCAGAAATCAGAAAATTTACGTTTGAAAATAATTACGCTACCACAAAATGAACGAGAAGCTGTCAAAACTCCGAAAAAAAAGAGGACTGGTTGCTGAGGGTAACGTAAGTGAAACGATTTGAGTCGTACTTGCCAAGAATACAGTGCTGATTTAAATTAACCGGACTAAACGAGTTAAACTTGAAATTTAAAACGCGTTTTTCTCAAATTGGGTTGAGTTTAGGTGAAAAATTATGAAGACAAAACTTGCTTAAAATTTTAGCAGAATTAATATGATGTTATTTGTTTTGCGAAACTCGGGCCCGAAATTTTACCCCAAAAATGGGGCATTTTGGCTTTTCTTAGTTTATCAAAAATTACGCTGAAATAACCCAGTCGATCACAGACATAATTATATCAAAATGAGCCCCCTACGTAGCCCAACGAACTTTAAGAAGGGTATATTCTCCAAAAAAAATTGCAAATTGTTTAAAAATTGTTTTTAAATAAAAAGTTGGTATTTTATATAGTAAAAACGATCTTTTTTGTCTATCAAACAAAAATAAAATATTTTATACAATTTTTTGGAGGTTATGCCCTTCTTAAAGTTTGTTGGGCTACGTAACCGGCTCACTTTGATATAATTATGTCTATGATCGACTCGGTATTTTCGGCGTAATTTATGATTAACTAAGAAAAGCCAAAATGACCCATTTTTGGGGTAAAATTTCGGGCCCGAATTTCGCAAAATAAATTACATTATATTAATTCTGCTAAAATTTTAAGCAAGTTTTGTCTTCATAAGTTTTCACCTAAACTCAACCCAATTTGAGAAAAACGCGTTTTAAATTTCAAGTTTAACTCGTTTTGTCCGGTTAATTTAAATCAGCACTGTAGATGAAACCAAAAGTAAATCAGACATTTCCAGCGTATAACAAGTCAAAAAATTTCAAAAATAATCATCGATCATCCAAATCATCCGACTGCATCGTTTTTGAACAAACCTGGCTCACTACTGTTTGCTGTGCGCGGGGCTCAGAACAAGTACGAAAAGAAGGAGTAAAACGTTAATATAGACTAACTTCAACAGATCTGGATTCATTCAGGGGAAAATTTCTTTTGAGCATAAAAAAAACTTTGCACAAAGGCGAAGCGGAACTTCGCGTTACTTGCTATTACACACAAACAAAATCATATCGAAGTCGAAAAAATTGGTGAAAAAACTAAGTCTACCAAAATTTTCGTATGTCTCGATAAAAGTTCATTCTAAGCAAACATGCCTAGCAAAACACTTGTATAGTAAATTACCAACGAAAACCAAGACGACTACTTTTGAGAAAACACCAGTTGCGCCGAAACAACAGTGAACAACACTTGCAACTATAATGAAAACGAACCAAGTGAGAACGAGCCTACGAGTTGTTAAGATTCAATAATATAGCAAGAAAAACCAGTAAGATTTATAGTAAGATTTAACCAGTAAGATACCAGTAAGAAAAACCAGTAACTAGAAAAACCAGTAAGATTTATAAAAACAATTGTTAACGGGAAAAAACAGTATAGTTTCTTATTACAAGACACTTGCTTTCGCAAATGTAAGGAAAATTAGAATTAGAAAATTTGAACGCAACAAGAATTGGCGAAAATAGGTTTGAACAATAACTTATGCCGAAGTCTTTGAAGCCTTCCCTACAATCGAGTCAATTATCATGGAAAGTTGCAACTTTGCGACCAAAACTCGATCTAAAACTTTTGCTGCAATGAACTTGAGCCACTATCCATTTCAAACTAGAAAAAGAACTTTAAAAAAGCGGGGAAAACGCGCCGCAAAAGCGGTGTGAGGATGCAAAATCTACACCTCAGAAAACTGTAACAACAGGTCTGGGTCAATTAGCAGACTGACTTTTTATCAGTCTACAAACATTTCTTAATAGTAACTTTTAACACGGCATTAGAAACTAGAGGTCACTTGCTCCGCTTCAATTCAACACGAGTTGTACTTTGGATAATTTTCTTTACTGGGAAAACTAAACCCTAGACTACGCGTTTATGTAATTTGAAAATCATTAATGCGTCAACCGTTATTTATGAATCGGAACTATCTTCAAGACAAAGATTTTCGGAATATGCGAAAATTCAACCAATCAACGCACTTTGAACTGTCCCAAACAGACTGATTTTATCGCTATTCGGTGAAAACTTTCGGTAACTCGATCATTCTGGAATGAGTAAGATTCCATTATAAAACCAGTTCCAACTTTCAATTCTATAACATCATTACTTTTACAGCAAAAAAATCGTGATGGGTAAATAAGACGAAGCTTGAGCAGACAAACGAAAGACCGAAAATTCATTTTTTTAACGAAAACAAATCAATTTCATACATACCAAACAAAAACAAGTCCTGATCGGGACTCGAATCCCAGACCTTAGGGAGCAGAGACGACCACGTTACCACCCGAACCAGCAAGTTGTTAAGATTCAATAATATAGCAAGCAATAAAAGCCAGTAAGATTTGTAAAAAAAAAGATATTAACGGAAATTAACGCAAATGTAATAAAAGTTGGAAAGTTGGACCACAACATGAATTGTCGAACTTAGGTCGGAACGAAAGATGCCGAAGTCTTTGAAGCTGGAAAAAAAGCGGGAAAAGGCATCGCAATAGCAGATGCAAAAGCCACCCATCAGAAAACTCTAATAACAGGGTCATTTACCAGAATGATTTTTCATCAGTTTCCAAATAGTTCT